CCCCGCCCCCCCCTGCCAGGAGGGAGAGGGACCGCGGGGCGGCCTTCGGCCCGGTGGCCACGATGGCGGTTCAGGGTTCATTTCGGGGTGTGTTTCTCTTGCCAGGGAGGTCGACGTGCTGTGGAGCTGGAGAGCGGGAGCGGCAGCGCAGAGCTCTGCAGAGGAGCCCATTTCCTGCTCCAAGTTGGTAGTAGCGGTGGGACATAACGCTGCAGGTGGGTGCGCAGGGGGGAAAATAGTGAATAGGCAAGCAGAGCGTTAAATAGCCGTGGTCTGCTATTCTTGCCTAGTGTTGAGAAAGTAGGAGCTGGGAGGAGGTGTAGTCCTAGCGTGTCGGGACACCGCAAGCTCTCTGTGCTGGAGCGTAACTTCAGGTTGCTGTCTGTTAAAAATTGTTCTTAGGTGCACCCAGCTTTGCGTTTAGGGGGTAGAGTTTTAAGCCTGAGGCTGCTGAGAAGATCTGTTGAGAGAAATGGAAGGTTAGTCACCAGTTGGTGTGTACACAGCACGATTATTTTACACCTGCTTGTTGTTGTCAGATTCTGCCTGGTCATGGTAGAAATCCTTAGATTTTTCCCTGGGGCAATCCTTCTGTACCAGTTGTGCTTGGGAGGCTCTCCTGGGTTGCATGTTGCTTTGCAACAGCTTGCTTTTGAAAATACAGGTTACTCTGCATCTTTGATGTTTTCAAAAAGGAGTCTATAGGAGATGTAAAATTATGGTTAGTTAGCTACAGCTCTTCTGTTTATACTTCAGAATTTCATCTGAAATATTGCATATGTGTGAGATAGCCTAGAGGTATCTGAACAGCATTATATCTGCTATTCTTAGATGACTTTATACAAACAATACTAAATATTTGGTTAAAGTTCTTTTCACATTCTAGTATTTTAGAAAAGTTTTTGAATATAAGCAATATATTTAACTTTGAGTACTGGAAGGTCTCCAAAGTTTTATTTTTCTGGTTTTGGAAATCCTTATGTTCTTCTTCTAAGTCTATTTTACTCTGTAGTAAGTAGTATTTTAGTTTAGTATCCTTGACAAAGTTTTAAATACGGAGATTTCTGACTCTCTAACTCTTCCCCCCTCCCTTTTTTTTTTTTGTTTTAACCTCTAATGAATAGTAACTCTTCTTTTTGCTTAGTCTTTTTTCACATTTTCATTCTTCAGTTGTTCATAATGTCTTCTTTTGAGGTGGTCATTTACTCATCAGACCTGGAGTCTTAGGACTCCTCCTAGCCTTCCCACACCCACTTACTACCTAGGACTTAAGTTTCTGAATAGCTCTTTCACAGCAGATATAAGGAAGTTTTAAGCCTTCTCAACGTTTTCATCTTACCTACATCTCTATTTTGTCTTTGATTTTTTTTTTCTTGAAATTTAATTACAAATCTATTTTCAATCAGCCTTCTGTTTCACTGAAATTAATTCGATTTTTGTGGTCATTTGACTTGAGATCTCTTGCTACCAAGTCTTGCAAATTGTGGTTCACACTTCTAAAGACAGTATAATAGTTTTGTCTTGTTGACCCAATGATTGTTTTTTTGAGAATTCTACTAAATATGATATATTGAGAAGTATAAGAGACATAATGTTTAGAAGTATTTGTTTTTAGTGAATAAAAAATGAATCAAAGTTGGCTGTAGTGATACAGTTCCTAACAGGTTTTTGATGTTATTTATATTCAATAAATACTGACTTTTTTTTTTTTTTTTTTTTTAAGTCTGAGGGCTGTGGGGTTATTCATGTTCTTGATTTTTGCTGGCCTTGACCAGTAAAAATAAGTATATAATTATTATATCTTCTGAACTTAAGGAAGAGTTTACAAAGAAACAAACTAATTTGGCTCGGGAACAGGAATTTTATTTCTGTATGAACTAATACTAGTGTTCTTCACAGCTTTCCTGTCATCTTTTATTCTGGATTCTGTGTGCTGGGAAGTAGTTGGAGTTGTGAAATTGTGGAACGAATGGTGTCGAACATCCAACACAACGAATGTCCTCCCGACGGATTCTTTCTGTTTGTTTTATCGATTAATATCAGACCCGACTGTAAGTGACTTACACGCAAACTCATCTGCGTTTAACACTTAAAAAAAAAAAAGAGCAATTGCAGTGTTTTGGGTTAGTCCCATCAAAAATTTGAAGGGCCAGAATTCTTTCGAATTTGCTCGCTAAAACTGCCTGTAGTTCTAACATATGACATTGGCTACAAAGAACATGACAGGACTGAATACTTCACATCAGCTGTGCAGGAAAAATTACAGAATCCCAGAATGGAAAGGACCTCTAGAGATCATCTA